TCCCTCTCACCTGTTCCCTCGTGGCTGGTGGAGCACAGGGCGCAGTTGGGTATGCGGGGGCCGGTCTCTGCCAGGCACGCGTCGCCTTCCTTGTCCGTGGCTGGGGGCGGAGGGGGTGTTAGCACGGTGCAGGCTCGCTGTGCACCCCATCTCAGGCCACTCCGGGGGCCGCTTCCTGCGGTCATATCCCTGCATAGAGGGCTCTCATCCCCCAGGGCAGCTCGCAGGGACCCCAGGTGCCAGCCCCGCCTGCCCTGAAAGGTGACCCCAGGGCAGCACCAGGCACACAACCCCTGCCCCTACCCAGACCAGACACAGGGGCCGGGCTCCAGCATCAAGCACTGGGATCCAGCCTAAGGGATTCTTGCAGCTGGCCCACTGGGCCCGGCCGCCCGTACTGAGCACACTCACAGCTGGCACCTGGCGCCTCAGGCTGGGACGTCACGATGGTGAACACAGTCCTGAGGATGCTCCGCAGGTCGCTGGCAAAGTTGGTCTGCAGCTGGTCGGCCACCCCTGCGGGAAGAGCGCAGCGTCGGGGCGGGGCGGGGCTGGCAGGCAGGTCTCAGTGGCGTGGCGGGGGCTGCAGAGCCACAAGCTCCCGGGCTCGGCTATTTCCAGGCCCCACAGGCAGCTCCCCAGCCCTCACCCGCAGTGGGCGGTCTAGTCCCCCCGTGCTGGGAAAGCCACGTGTCTGTGCCCAGCGCTTACCTGAGATGCAGACAAAGAGCGTGTGGATCATGTCCCAGGTGCTGCTGTAGCGGGAGCGGAGCTCTGCCCGCCGGGCATGCTGCACTGTGCCAGGGGGTGCACAGAGACGCTTGCTGCCCAGAGGCCTGCGCGGAGGAGAGAGTTAAAGGGCCTCGCCCTAGAGCACAACCCAACCCGGAGCAGCCTCTAAGGGTCAGGCAGCGCGGACACTGTCCTCCAGGGCAAGCAGCCCAGGTGCAGCTGCCCACCCATTGCCTGTGGCCACCTACCTGCTGCAGGCACCAGGGCCTCGGTCACTGCATGGCAACGGAGGAAGAGCTGGGGTCTGGTCCAGGTCGGTCCCCTCAGCCGGGGAGTGGGTATGGGGCCCCCAGCACTGCCCTGCCCAGGGTGCCTGGCCAAAGGCCACAGGCAGGAGCTGGAGCTGTGGCTCCTGGGCATCCCAGGCTGTGCTGGGCATGGCTGGGGCAGGGACCAGCAGGGCTGGGGTGTCACAGGCGGTAGTCAGGTTACCAGGGCAGGCACTCGGAGGCCTGTGAAGATGAGGCAGCCCCCGCTCTGTGCCCCCGAGTGCTGGCACCCCCAGGACACCTGTGTTGCAGCCTGCCCCCGGCCTCGCCCAGCACCCCGATGTGGTGCCAGGACCCTTGGCAGCCTGCAGGGGAGCAGGGCCAGGTGGGGCAGCCAGGGGCTGGGGCAGAGCAGCAGCGCGGGGCTCCTCCAGTTGGGCCGCACACAGGCTCCTCTCCAGCAGGGACAGCTCCTCGGCTGACAGCGCCCGCAGCAGGTCCCTGCAGGGGCCAAGGCAGGCGTGAGGGCCCCGCGGCTCTGCGGAGAGTCCCACCACTCTGCCCAGCAGCACGTTGCCCTGCACATGCCTCAAGCCCTGTGCCCCCGCCTCACCCACCTGATCTTTCTCAACAGGACGTAGAAGGGGCTGAAGACCCTGGACATCTCCTCGGGCTGCCGCTCCAGGCTGAGTGGCCCCTCGGGGTAGATCAGGAGCCCACTGCAGGCAGGGAGTGATGGGGCAGCAGCTCAGATGGTGGCTTGAGCCCAAGAGCTCCAAGCCAGGTGCCCCTGCATAGCCCCCCGCCACCGGCCCTGCCCCAGCAGTGCCTGCCCTGAGCCCACCTGATGATGCCCAGGCGGGGAATGGTGAACATCAGCAGCGGCTCATACTGGTCGATCATCTCCTGCGTCAGGTACCCGAGTCTCAGGGCCCTGCAGGGGGTTAGGGGGCCTTAGTTGTCTGGGGAAGGGGGCACCGCAGGGGTGCAAAGAGCCGCTGGGCACAGAGGCCAGCGCTGTGCTCTGCTCTCCTGCCCAGGACCCCTGCCCCGCAGCCGGCCAGAGCCAGAGCCATTGCCTGGACTGTGGCCTCTCACCTCTGCACTGTCTCGCAGAAAAGCACGATGATCTCCTGCTGCTTGTAGAGTTCCTCCGGTGACTTCACCGTGACCAGGGAGGACACGTAGCTGGAGGGAACAGGCCCTGTGATGCCCAGCTCGCCCGCCCCAGAGCCCATGACCTGGGAGCGATACCCCCCCGCCCTGCCTAAGCCTCTCTATCGGGATCCCCAGCACCACAAGGAGCTACCCAGGAGGTGTCGGGGCACCCTGGGCTGCAAGGGGAGGCTGGGACCCGGGCCCTGGGTGGGGGAGCCCCCCAGAGCCATGCACACCTCAGTTCAAACTCGGCAAAGAGCGCATCGAACCGGACCAGTGCAGCCTGCACGGACTCTGGGTAGGGCCCAGCCTGGCTCAGGCTCTGTTCCCGGAGCAGCACCCGCACCAGCTCCAGGCTGCACAGCAGGGTCCTGGCCAGCGGGCGCAGCTGCTGCCCCTCAGCCACGTCCATCTCCAGGAAGGTGCCAGCCACCAGGCACTGCAGGGAGAGCGCAGGGCGGGTCAGATCCTGGGGTGTAGCCTAGACCCCCTGCATCCCCCTGGGGCTGGCTGGGGCAGCGCCATGCGCCCCCCACCCTGGGCACCCCTGCACAAGGGCTCGTTCGGGGCTGGCCGGGGGTCTGCCCACGCAAGGTCCGTGCAATGCAGGGGGAGGGACAGCTCCTCCAGGAGTCGCGGGTTGCAGGCAGCCCCAGAACAAGCCCTTCGCCATGGGACAGGACAGGAACACCGCCCCCCCTCCCCGGGGTCTTGGCCGACCTCGGCTGCAAAGAGCAGGTGGTTGCCCAGGTCGTCAGCCAGCAGCTCCTCCGGGAACTTGGCGTGGTAGTCGCGGCTGTGCCGTGCGGTGGGGATGCACTCGTCCATGATGCGCTGGAGCACGGTGAGCAGGCGCACCTGGGTGAGGGCCACCGATGTCAGGCTGCAGCACGGCCCAGCACTGCTGCCTCCCAGCAGCCCGGGGCTGGCCCGTTCAGCCAGGACGGCCGGGGCCTCCGCTCCCGCCCGGCGGGGCCCAGGCACGCTCCTGCCCCACGCCACCCCGCGTACCTGGCTGAGGTGCAGCTGGCTGAGCAGCGCCAGGTACTGCTGCGGGTCCAAGTCCGCGTCCAGGCAGCTCATCTCCGTCACCGCCCGGGTCACCTGCTCGTCCGCGTGGAAGAACTGGGCCAGCAGCTGCGGGTCAGAGCGCTGGGCGCGGAGACACGGCGCCGTCACCCCAGGGGGACAGGACAGCCACCGTCCCACAGCTGCACGGGTGCCCGCCCCGCCCCGCCCCACCCTTCCCTTCC